TAATGTCCATACTTGAACATCCAAACTGGAAATCACTAGGTAAACCTGGCCATTCACAATATGAAATATGTCTATGATTATTGTTATAATTTTTAAGCTTATCAACTTTAGTGTGTGTGTGTTGTAGTGTGCTTTGAACTCAAGGCCTGGAGCATGCTACCTTGATGGTCTACTATTTGAGCCACTCATCTAACCCTATTTTATTCAGCTGGTTAATTTGGAGATGGAATCTCGTGAATTTATCTACCAAGGCTGGCCTCAAAACATATTTCTCCATATCTCAGCCTCCTGAGTAGGTAAGACTACCAGCATGAGCCACTAGTGCTTAGCTAGTTTTAATTGTGGTTTGTTGTTTGTTTGCTTTCTTACTACAATTGCCTAGAATGGCCTGAAACACTTGAGCTCAAGTGATCATCCTGCTCCAGGCTCCAGTGTAGCTAGGTCTACAAAGGCACACTACCATACATAACTCCTAATTTAAAATTTAAAGTTGTTATTAGATGATCTTGAAACATGTTTAGAAAAATGGATATGTGGAACTACATTTTAACTTGTAAAGATACATCTAAACAGATTAGGTATTTCTGCTAAAAAATTAATAAACTGTAATATGCATAAGCATTAAAATGCACATGGAATTTCAAATATTAGCATAAAATAATAATGTAAAAGACAGCCTTTTAAAAATAATGATTGCATGTCAAAATGATATTCAGATATATTAGCTTAAATCTTTTTTACTTAATACCTCTGGATTCTTTTTACTTTATGTTTTACATTTTTTTTTGTTTTTTGTTTGTATTTAATTTTGGTGGTATGAGGATTAAAACTCAGAGCCTCATACATGGTGGGTTTGCCTGCTCAGCAGGTACTCTACATCTAAAGCCATGGCTCCTTCTTTGGTTATTTTGCAGATGGAGACTTGCAGACTACTTTGTCCAGTCTAGCTTCAAAGCTCAATGTTCCAGATCTTATCTTCCTTTGTAGCTGGGGTAATAAGACACCACAGCCCAGTTCTGGCTTTATATTTTTGTATAGTAACCATGATAAAATAATAATCATAATCATAATAATAATAATGGTACTATAAGTATTGAGATAGGCCAATGAAATGGTTTGGCACAAACATGTTGTATGACAGAAAAGCAGAGGACAGAAAAACTATATTCAAATTCTAATTCTGATACTGGCCATCCAAAGATATTTGAACAAATGTATATTATTTCTTGATATGTAAAATAGGGAGATGAGCACCAATAGGCACACCTGTAATCCTAGCTACTTGGAAGGATTAGAAGGCAATAGAGAGGAAAGCTGTTTAAAGTTTGAAGCTAGCATAGGCAAAAAAAAAAAAAAAATCTCAAAATCGAATTTCAAACAATAGCTGGGAGTAGTAAAAAACACTTGTCATACCAACATAAATAGGATGTGGACAACATAAAATAGGAAGATCACATTCCAGGCTGACCTGGGGAAAAAATAAGAATCAATTTCAAAAATAACCAGAAGATAGTATTAGAAGTATGGCTCAAATTAAGAGCTCATATCTAGCAAGTATAAAACTCAGTTCAAACACTTGTGTCATGAACAATAAAGAAGGGAGAATGGTTTTCTAGTTAAAATAAAATACTTGTAAAGTGTCTGGCATGTAATAGGTACAAATAATTGAATAAATCATTTTCCAAAGCAAATCACAAAGAATAGGCAATTAGTTAGAACTTCTTCTCAATGACTGTCTTCCTGCAAATAAGATATAGTTTGTGAGCTGGGTGCTTCAAAGACAGCCTAGCCAAGAAAGACAGTGAGACAATTAACTCCACTTAATCAGTAAAAAGATAGAAGTAGAGCTGTGGCTCAAGTGGTAGAGTGCAAGCCTTGAGCAAAAGAGCTCAGAGGCATCACCCAGGCCCTGAGTTCAAGCCCCAGTAGGAGCACTAAAAAGAAAGATAGACTCTATGGACCCTTCTTGCCATAATTAAGGATAGGTTCTACAGATAAATAATAGCAACCTTTATATCCAATGGTCTTACCCAAAGTTTCCAAAAATGAATGTTTAAAAATGGTATAGACAGACTGACTTCAAAAACCATCATGGTTTCATGAACCCAAAATGCACCTAAAAGATACTTCTAACTTATGTACTCTACAGGATTTTTACATGTCTGTAACTTGAAAAGCATTATGAGTCCTTATTCTATGAAACCAAACCACAATCACTATAAGATTGGGGAAGGTAAGCCTAAAACAAATGACATTATTCCTATTGGCCTTCTTAAATCCAATAGGAAAGCATTCTTTTATCATTACCCTAATACATAGATTGAAATATCTATGTCACACTTATTCATATGAACTAATAACTAGAATATTCATGACATAATTCCTGGAAAGCAAGAAGTTTAGAATATCTTTTCAAGACAAAGTGAACAAGGAAAACCAGTCCTCTGAACAAGAAGACATCAAAAATATTGGATCCACCTCAGGCTCAATGGCTCAAGTGTGTCAATACTAGCTATTTGGGAGGCAGGGACTGGGGGAAGGAGATTTCAGGCTATAGCTTCAGCTGGCCTAGGCATAGAGTGAGATTCTACCTTACAAATAAACCAAGACAAAATAAGGTCTGGAGGTGTGGCTCAAATGTAGAGTGCCTGGTTAGCAAGCAATGTGGTATCATTGATGGTACCCACTATCATCAAAAACACTTCTGAATCCTGATTAGATAACTTGCATGTCCATTCACTGTGATTGATCTTACATTATCCCAGTAAAAATAATATTCACTTGCCTTCCTCTTGGTCAATCTGCTTCTTTCCCATATGCCTGTGTAGGTACACACGTTTATTTGTGTAATCTTCACATTACCTAATTTGTCATCAAAATAAATGTGAAGTTGAATTCCTAAAGTCAAACTATCCAACTTCATAAAAAAATTGTTAGTTCCCATCATAATTTTCAGTAAATAAAGTAATAATCAGCTGGCTGCCTGTGGCTCATACCTGTAATCCTAGCTACTGAGGAGGCTGAGATCTGAGGATCAAGTTTCAAAGGCAGCTGAAAGAGGAAAGACCATGAGACTCATCTCCAATTACCCACCAAAAAGCCAGAAGTGCAGCTGTGTCTCAAGTGGTAGAGTGGTAGCCTCGAGCAAAAGAGCACAGTAACAGTATCCAGCCCATAAGTTCAAGCCCAGGAATGGCACAAAAAAAATTTATTTTACATTATATTGTGTGACAGAGCTAAAATCCAATGTTAACAATGCCCACTTATAGCTTTCCATATTTTTGCAACAACTTTCTGTTTTGTAGTAATACAAACACCTCCTAATCCTGAACACATTTTGCCACTATAATTTCCGAGTTTTCTTAAGTTGCTCATCAATCTATGTAATAAATCAGATGTTATGCCAGAAGTCAAACAAATCCCACACCAAAAGTCTTTCAATTTATTAGCTCTCATTAAATGTGAATTTCTAGAAAACAGAATAAGAATGCTAGATTAGCAGATCTTATGAGTTTATTAGGGAAATTTTTCTTAACTTGATTATCAAATTACAATTAACTTGTTGGTTTTTCCATTAGATTGTAGACAGCTTAAGATCAGGGGAAGATGTTACTCTGTATGCTTTGCATTGATAAATTGATTTATTCAAGTTTGTATTTTCAATATGCCAGGGACTTTACAACTATGCCGTTCTAGCTTGGCATAGTTTACAATAGTCTGAGTAGCTGTGGGGAGGAGGAAGAAGGAAGGAAGGAAGGAAGGAAGGAAGGAAGGAAGGAAGGAAGGGAGGGAGGGAGGGAGGGAGGGAGGGAGGGAGGGAGGGAGGGAGGGAGGGAGGGTGATGTCCTCAGAAAAACTGTCATGAGGTAAGGGTAAGAAGAGGACAGAAAGGAAGAAATAGAGAAAAGAGAAGTGACAACATGAAATATATCAGAGTGAAGTTTTGCATAATATCATTCTCATACCAGAACACTAGAAATAGAATTAGCCACTAATCTAAACAAGCAGCTGAGAATCACCCAAGATGAATAAGCCCAGGAGACAAGTACTTGTTGAGAACCAGAACAGTCAGTGAAAAAAGAACATAGCAGACATCATATGCAGAAGCTTGGGGGCATGCTGAAAAGCTTGGCAAGTGCTCGCTAAAAGCCTGTCATAGCTGGTTCTCCTAGTGAGGAAAACACTTCAGGGTATTCTGCACCTTTCAAAACTGGCAACATTTTTCAGGTAGTAATACCTTCATATGGCAGAGTCATTCGTTTCATTTCACTCTTGCAGAAATTACCTTTGAGGGCAGAGATCTAAGGATTGAGGTTCAAATCTGGACCAGTGCAGGGAAGTCCCTGAGACTCTTATTTCAATGAACCAGCAAAATACCCTAAGTAAAACTGTGGCTCAAGTGGTAGAGAACCAGCCTTCAGAGAAAAAGCTAAGGGAGAGTACCCAGACCCTGACTTCAAGCCCCAGTAGTGGGACAGAGAGAGAGACAGACAGGGAGAGAAAGAAACAGAGATAACCAGAGACACACAGAAACACAGTGAGAAATTACCTTTGGTTCTTAGAACCAAGGCAGGCGTAAAAATGATTAATCAATGGCTGGGCACCAGTGGCTCATGCCTGCAATCCTAACTACTAAGGAGGCTGAGATCTAAGGATCACGGTTCAAAGCCAGCCCAGACAAGGAAAGTCGATCTCCAATAAACCACTAGAAAATCGGAAGTGGCGCTGTGGCTCAAGTAGTAGAGCATTTGTCTTAAGCTGAAGAGCAGAGGGACAGCGCCCATGCCCAGAGTTAAAGCACTACTACCGACAAAATAAATAAATAAATAAATAAATAAATAAATAAATAAATAAAAATAATAGTAATAACAATAAAGACAATTGATCCCTTTTGAGACCAACCAATGTTTTTGTTTTTGTTTTTTTTTCTGTTGCATGGAATAACTGAGCAAGCCTATCCCATTCAACCCCTTCCACCAAATCACACCAGTTCCACTTACGCCCAGCATCTGGTGGAGGTAGTGATACTCTGGCCCTTGGTTGTACAGCAGGAAGGTTTTCCAGAAAAGCAGGACATTCAAGGACAGCCAAATGAGCTGAGCCAGACAAAAAGAGAGAGAAAATTAAATTTTAAAAAGAGAAATAATCACCTGATGGATAAAGCAAGTCAGCTTTTTCGGACCTGGTACTTACAAAGCCATCTCAATTAGCAATTGCGAAACTGCCTTCTCAGAAGCCAGAAATCCCAAACCTGAGAGAGGACACCTGTCCCAGCCCTGCCCAGCTCCTCCACCTGAGAGGATGCAAACAGGTGTCCTCGGTAATGTGCAAGTGACTTCCTCAGTACAAAGCAGGTCTAGAGTGAAATTAGTGGTTTCACCTTTGTCCCAAGCAAATGGGGGAGAAGAGCAAAGCAAGCAAGCAACCTGGTCTGAAGTGTTAATAGGAAAATAGTTCCCCAAAGTGAGCCCCTCTCCCCACCCTCCGCATCCGCTCTCCCATTCGAGTGTGGAGAGGTTCCCGTGCACCGAGGGGAAGGAGAAGAGGAAGTCTGTAAAGACGAGGTCCACATAGATGGTTGCCTAGGATTTAACCGCATTCAAAGTTTTGTTAGTTGCAAAGTTTGGCATTCGAGACTAAACTTCCCAACCCGGGCGTCCCACCCCGCGCGCGCTCGGAGGATGGATCGAAGCTCGGCGGGACAGGCACCCTACCAGGCAGAGGTGCTTCACCCCCTCGTTGGCCAGCCAGCTCCTCCAGGACACGGCCATGTCGCCCGCCGCCGTGTGGCCCGCCCGCTGCCGCCCGCACTGTGTGCGCCGTCTGCGCCGCTGCGCCCCGGGCCGGC